TTCCCTCTCTCACTGGTGTCAATGATCTGCCGCCTCTGGTATTGCAATCTCCTAAATTTAAATATGGATAATCCTTAGGGTGGCACTGTGTTTAAACTGAATGAGGGAGGGGAGTGGCTCCCTTGGCTTTTCTGTTTCTGACTGTATTAACACCCTGGGGCTTGTGCATACTAAGCATACACTTTTACTGCACAGCTACGTCTCAGCCTGAGTTTTGGGCCCCACTTTACACAAGAAACTAACAGGAGAGCTGGCCACAGCAGCTCAGCCGTTTGGTATCCACTCAATTTAAGAGGTACACTATTCCAAATAAATAGTTCGACTAAATAAAATAGGGGTTTGAAATGACAAAAATACATTTAAAACTGAGAAACCCTACCAACCGAAAGGGTGGTGCATTGATTGTTAATAATCTTATATTCTCAAATACATACTCACTTTTTTTCTTTGCGGTATTGGGGTTTGAATTGAGGTCATTCAGTCTAAGCAGCAGCCCCCATCCTTTTTATTTATTTTTTAAATACTGAGACAGTCTTACCAATTTGTCGAATTGCCCAGGCTAGGCTCAAACTGCAGGCAATCCTTTTGCCTCAGCCTCCCCAGTGCTGGGCTTACAGGTATGCATTACGACACCCACCTTAGTTATTCACAATCACAGTTTCTGTGTGATTTTCATATAGTTATTCCACAAACATCAGCAATACCATGTGAAAGTGTTTTAAGTCACAAAGCCTGTGATACAGAGCTGTGCATGATAACAATTTATTTCGTTAAAGATTAGGATTTAGAACGACATGAATAGCAATGGCCAACACTGGGTTTACAATCATTTGTTTTCATTTAAAATAAACCAATTTTGAGAATGTGTGGTGAAGTTCCAGAATAGCTAAAGCCTGTGAATTTTAGCATTCCCCAAGAATTTAAAATATATTATACAGGATAAGAGTGTCTGTAGTCAAATAAATTGAGGGTTTACTAGATTATTTCCCAAGGTTATAAGATTCTATGACATTTTTTCCCCCCACAGTGCTGCTTGGACTCAGATTCTAAGGAAAACCCTTGAGGTAATGTTCCCACACAGGACGGATACAAGTGACTGATTTACTAAGTCCTCACTATACAATGTCGAACCAGTGTTTTGTTAATTTTACACCTTTAAGGCACATGGCAATATTATTACCTCTATTTTTTAGAAGAGGAAAAACTTTTATTTTATAGAACAGAAAATGTAAACAGTAGAACATGTATGTCCAGAACATATGCAGAAATCAAACTCCATAATTTAAAAGAAGTTTCTTCTCCAACCTCCATCACCAGGTGATAGGAACCCAGTCTGTGAAATGTGCTCTGCTGTTTGCATGATAATGACGCGAGCAATCTTCCAGAGTTATGTATTTATCTCATCTTTAATGCCGAACTCCTTCAAAGTAATTTAAAAATCCCTGGAAGTTGTTTTCTGCAGGGTGGAAATGGTGAAAGGCATGAATTAAAGAAACCAATGGCAAAACTAGGAGAGACAATAGAGTTAGGAGCGTCTGGTCCATTCATCTGAAAGTGGCAGCTGCAATCCCAGGGCAGGAAGGACACTGACTGGTGAGGTCATCAGTCCCCTCTGCATGGGGTCACATACCTCAAGTTCCCAGGAAACTGTGCTGGGTCTCCCCAAACCAAACAGCACAATAGCACCACAGGAGGCATACAAACAACATAATCAGCTAGAGGAAGAATTTCTCAAAATATGGAACATGCATTATATGCAGTGTTATCTTGATCGTCCGTGATAATCCCTTCATAGACCTAGAAAACTAAAGTGTCAGTCTCTCTAGATGTGGCTAAGGAATCTGCATTTTAAGGAAATATTAGGAAACTCTGATGTAAGCTTAAATTTGGACATGGAATTAGGCAATGAAGAGTCCATTATGCCTTTTTTAACTAAGAAAAATGACCTTAGCATTCTTCAACTAGATCCTGTTTAGAGGATAAAAGATGCATAGGAAGAGTCCGTCTGGACACCCAGGGTGTGTCACGCAGTGGCAGTGGGTGTTTGGGGCGGCACACCAGTTTGAGAGCGGTTTGTGGAAGTTTGCAGTCTGGCAGCTTACCAACCGTGGCTGCACTTTATGAGCATGAGACACAGTCCTCCAACAGACACGCCGGCCACCACTTCCCCTGCACTCCCAAAGCCACACTTCAACGCTTCTGTAGAACAGGCTTTGGGGCCAAATAGCTTGGATGAGACTGAAGTCACAATTAAAATTCCTTTTTTTAATTTAGAAAAGTGTATTTCTAAGTATTAATATTCCCTTTATACTTCCTAGGTTTTAAATTTTGTACAATAGCTCTATAGTGGTCTTTATTGTGATTACAAAAGAATCCATTTACAAAAATAGTTCATAAAGAAAGTAGATTTTGAGACCTTTCAGAATAGCATTCTGTGCTTACAGCCTAATAAAAAACAAAAAAGTAGCAGGTCTTTTAAGCATAGGAAGTTGTCTTCTAGTCTTTTTGGTAGGGTTCTGTCTACTTTCTTTTAATGGCAAGTGGAAGTGGGACAGGATGAAATGTGCTATTAGACTTTGGAAAACATCTCTCAAGGTGGATACAATTTGGAGGATTCTAAATATTTTCATCCGAATTAACAGAGTATAGTATTTCAATTCTAAGGCACAAATTTGCGGTCTAGTGACTCTGAATATAAGATATATTAAATAAGACACAATTCATACAGTATGTCACCCTTTTAAATGTGGAATTTAATAGTTTTTAGTATGTTTCTGTAGCTGTACGACCATTACTAAGTTTGGGACATTTACATCACCCAAAATAAACCTTGTATCATTTTTATTACTTTTCTCATAATCTCTGGCAACTACTCATGTCTCCCTGAGTTTCCCTGCTTCTGACATATACACTATGTCTAGATTTTTTTCACTTACTGTTTTCATAGTTCATCTATGTTGTAGTGTATATGAATACTTAATTTTTATAGCCAAATAATATTTCATTTTATGGGTACACTACATTGTTTTCCCATTTCTCAGTACACAGGACATTCATTTCTAGTTGTTTCCACTTTTTTTTTCTATTTTCATAATACAGCTTTGGATGTTTATGTCCATTTTTCGTGAATGTTTTCAGTCTTCTTGGGTATACAACCAGCAATGGAACTGCTCGATCACATGCTAATTGCTTATCTTACCTTTTCTGAGGTACTGCTACCCTGTTCCAAAGCAGCTTCATCATTTCACAATCTCAAGGGTGAGGCTCCAACACTCCAATCTTCTTGCCAACACTGGTTATTGTCTTTTTGACATTTGCCATCCTAGCGGCTATAATGGGGTATCGTATGGTTTTAGTTTGCATTTCCCTGATGGCTGACATTGAGTGGGTTTTTTATGTGCTCACTGGCTATTCGTATGTCTCCTTTGGAAAAAGTCTATTGAAATCTTTGACCATTATTTAATCGGTTGTATTTTTATCAGTGAATTGTTAAGGTTTCTTTACACATTCCAGGTTCAAGTTCTTTGTCAGATAAATGATCTTCAAATATTTTGTACTATTTTGAGGGTTGTCTTTTTACTCTTGACAGTGTCTTCTGATGCACAGAACTTTTAATTTTCATAAAGTCTGATTTCTCTATTTTTTCTTTTGCTGTGTTTTTTGGTGTAATACTCAAGAAATCATGGACTAAATCAGGTTATAAAGGTTTATTTTTCCTTCAAAGAATTCTGTAGTTGTAGTTCTTCGATGCAGTTAGTTAATTTGGTTTGTGTGTATGGGTCAACTTCATCCTTCTGATTGGTGATCTTCAGTTGTGCCAGCTCCATTTGTTGAAAATACCTCTCCCCATTGAACAGCTAAGTGTTCTTGCTGGAAAGGACGTGTATTAGGGGCGGTTCTTCAGAGGAAGAGAATCCACAGAAAATGTGTAGTCAAGGGAATTTATTGGATACACTCACAGTATCAGAGGGGGTCCCCAGTGGCTCTCCAAGGCTAAGAACTGGGCCCAGCAGCTGGTCAGCCTCACAAGAGGGAAGCCACAGAACAAGAGGGACCAAGGCTGCAGCACTAGTCCAAGGTCAGAGGCCAAGAAGCTCACTGTGGAGTCGCTAGTGAGTCTGTGCTGGAAGGCTGAAGAAACAAGACCAATGCAAGGGAGATGACAAAGCTGGGGCTTTCGGAAATGGGCACGCTTCCCCCTTCTTTCCATTTTTCATTCCATCCTGACTGACAAGCCTATTGCCTGGCACCACTGACATCCGGGGTGGGCTTCCCACCTCAGTCTGCTGGCCCACACATCCCTCATCCACACTCATCCAGACTATGCTTTGCCAATGTGGTAGGCAGCCTGAATCCACTCAAGTTGATACCTCATGGCTAGTGGTCACAGGATATACATGGAAATTGTAATTGGATGTTTTTCTGTAGTAACACATCACGCAATTCACCGCATCTTAGATTTGATAAAGTATGGAACATTTAACTTCTTAAAGTGTATATATAATTGTGCATTAAAAAAAATGAAATCTATTTCCCTCAACAATAGTAACATCCCTGTGTATCAATATGATGAGAAAAAAATCTGTCTTAAATTCATGCATTTTCTTATGATGGATATTATGTAAGGTTTAAAGGCTTAAAAAAAAAACCCCTTACTGTTATTAAAAATAAATGAAGACTGTCACAAAAGTAGCACCATGATTCTAAGTGATCGTGAAGAAAATTCTTTAATTCTATAAGCTAGGTTAAATTCTCCTGGAAGTCAGACTTATTTGCCAGTGGTTAAACACCATAAGAAACAGAATATGAGCACCAATTGAATTTCAATAGAAAATTTAGAGAACTTTCAGAATCCAAATTTAAATATGTATTATGTAGAATAAAAAACAACTAATAATAAACTCAACTTTTTGAGATTACCTTGGAAGTGTGAGAAATGTGAAAATCAAGTGTACTTCTGCATACTCTTCCTGCAGAATGCCAGGGACACAACCAAAGTCTAAAGACAGCTCACAAACATAGTGAGATCCGTTTAATAGGTTTTGAAGATTTTTCCTGTAAAATGGCTTGTATTTCCACAGGTACAATAGTGAAGAAATAAACTTTTCAATTTAACATGAAATATAAAAGAACAATTTTACAAATATATCCATAAAATTTAACTGCTCATAACACTCTACGTGGTAAATATGACCAACCCTTTCAATTCTAGATTATTTAATACAGAGAAGAGAGCTTTCATTCCAGCTGAAAAAAACAAACAAACTTCCCTTTCATTGAGTTTATTTTTGTTTGTTTAGAAACATACTAAGAAACAGTTAAATAGAACTGGAAAAATATTTGTTTTTCCCCATTCTCTAGGGATTCTTCATGAGGGTGAAGAACTCATTTGAGAAGATATGTCTTAGTAAAAAGAAAATACTCAACCCTCTTTGTTTGACTGCTTCAGTAATGCTTACATTGTTTTAAAAAGATCCTGAAGTTGTCACCTTTGTCTTTGTGTCATAAAGAAAAGACAAGTGAGTGGCGCTCTCTGTCCTGCACTGTGAGGAGCTTTAGCACTGTGGAGGCTCACTATGGGGACCTGGGTGGAGCCAAGTGGACAGAGCGGCCTCTGGCGTCTGGCTTGAGTCGAGGTTCCTCACTTTGTCTGTGAGAAGTTCCATTAGGAGGCAAGCTCACAGGAAGACTGCAAGTTTCTATTCAGCACTCACACCGGTGTGGCCACACACCTCTCTGCACATCCGAAGAACAGAACGGCTTTACAAAAGAAGTTAAGCAAAATCAGGACCACAGGCAACAATTCTATAGCCCATAGTACCTTTAAATTAAGTATAAAATGAGCTCCCAAACTCTTAAAAGTGCCCAAATAACAATACTGAGCTCCAAGATAACAAGAGGTTTGCATTTTTCTGTGTAAGTAAAAGTAAAAGGCATTGAAGCTTTATGAAAAAGAGTGCTCCTCAACTTTCCTAATACAGTACATGTAATAACTTAAAATGATTTCCCCACTGGTACTGGAAAATAAATTCTACTACAATCATGTCTATGCCAGTTCCTGGCACATTTCTGCATCCAGATTCATTCGTCTTTGTACTGGAGCCCGTCATTTTTCCAATGGCTTTCTCCTTTCTTTAAACCCTAACCCTGAATTTCTAAAACCAGTTATATCACGTGGCTTCCCTGAGGCACAAAGGTACCAAACTCTACAATTAACTACTGAGGAATGATAAATATGTTATTTATATTAAAAGATTTTAATTCTCTTGGGCCACAGTCGGGGGAGAAAAAAACCCAGAAAGCTTAATACTTACTCTGCCGTGTGAACTGTAGCCCTTTCTGCAAAAAGCTGAGCCAAATAAGGGAAATGTTGAGGGTTGCAGCATGCATGACCCGGCAGCACCAATTATTAATAAAAAATTCCAGACTAGAAAAATACTCAGAGTTGTACACCATCCACTCTGAATCTTTTTTTTTTTGTTTGTAGTAAACTGACATAAACAACTGAATGAAATTATCCATGGGAATACATGACTGGGGCTTTACTTCTGGAAACCTAGTCAAAAAAGGCATCTTGGTCAGGCTGTGACCGGGCACAGCGGGCCTGCGACTCTGAGTGCCTGTCAGGGGTGGCACTCTGGTCCTTCGACATGATGCTGAGGCAGATGCAAAGCAGAAGGGACCCTGGAGAGGCTATTTTTCTTCTACTGTGTCATTCTACTTTGGTGAGCTAGAGCTTTTTTTCCTCACAAACCAAACTGCTTTCAAGTCTGAAAACAAATTTCATCAGTCAAAATTATGAGGGTATCTAAGTTCTCGGAGTACCGAGTGAGTGAGCCTGGCTTCCTTTCTATAGCTGCTGGACCTCTGTGTGGGCCCCCGGGCAGGGCGGGAAGGGACCACACTGGGAAGCCCAAGGAGAAGACATGAAGCTGACAGAGGTTGGCCCTCTTACCAAGAATTTACTGGCCAAATCTCAGCTTGCACTTAAGCTATCTGAGTTTACTACAAGCCAGAAACTTTTCAAGGTCAAAAGTAACCTTATTTTGGGACACATGGTGCCCGGATAATTACCAGATGGACATATTTATGAACACGGGAACATGATATCAGAGCGTAACTCCCCAGAAAGAAACTTCCCTTTTCTTTTTTTGGTAGGTGAAATGCAGCCTTTCTGGGTGCAAAGCCATGTACCTTACAAGATGATCGAGGGTATCAAGAATCCCCAGGTGACCTCTAGTCATACAGCAAGACAAAGAAACAAGGGCCTACTTCATCTTTCTCGGAGCCCAAAGATTACAAGTGTGAGACTCACTCTCTCAGGGATACCTAATTACTGGAGACTCTGAATAAGCCAGGCAGCATTCACTACATCATTGTAGGCAATTCCATTTTTTCTTATCTCTTGTGTCTGCAAGTAAGCTACATAGAATAGAGGAAGCTATCAGTAAGAGGACTATTGTTGGATTTTCACATAATTTACAAATTACCCCAACAAAAATACCCCATCCTAAACAATGATCTCCATTGAAAAATAAAGCTATTTTAAAACTGACAGGCTGAACTTTTAAAATATTAAGTTAAATTAAGCAGCAGCAATTAAGAGATATATATCTTATCACTTTAAGAAAAAGAGTATTCAAACAGGTTAGAATGATTAAAAATGGGCAAATACTTGCCAGTAGGCAAAATATGGGAAAACCAATTCAAGTATGAATATAGTATATTAGAGTCATATAAATTACATATATTTATAAAAGTTAAAAAACGTATTTCAAATCCGCTAATCCATTGAAGAGGATGTTAGTTCAAATGAACACTTGCTCCATGTGCAGGGACCTATTTCAGCTCAGCCAGCTTCTCTACTTTTGGGAACAGTGACACTCCCAGTACTGAGCACATAAAGCAAGCACCCAGAATTATTCACCAAGACGAAAAGACACCGACAGCTCATGCAGGATGGGGGAGCTCATATCAAATTCTGACTTAATTATTCCTCAGTGAACACTCATTTGCTCTCGCAAAGTCAGGAATTTAAAATTGTCACTGCAGATGAATCACTTGGTGCTGGGGATATCTAATGGTAACATTTAAATTTAGTAGGATTTGAAAATATTTTGAAAACTGAGGCCTCCTGAAGCTGTGAAGGTGACACATGGTGGGGAGTGAACAAAAATGACAGCATCACTCTGGTTTGTTGCCTTTGGGCTCACAGAATTCTGACTTACAGAAGACGACAAAAAAAAAATCTCAGGAAACCCCAACAAGTGGTTTAAAAAGTAAAAGTGCAATGTGAATCTCTCTCAAAGCTTAAACAACTCAGTGTGCAGACCAAGCTGGAGTCACAGTCCCGAGGCCGCAGCATGGCCACATAGGTCTGCCGCCTAGCAAACTTCTGGGTTTGCTGCTGGGTTCACTCCATCAAGCAGTTCTGGCCATGCAAGATGAAGACGGGAAAAACTATATTAAGAAGAAACATAAAACGCAGACTAAAACATCATAGAAAATTCTCTTGTTTGGAATGCCAAGTATCTGATGTATGAGTGTATAAGCAAATTCCACTAAAGTAAGAAAAAACCCACAATCATACATGAATATTCTCTCCCCTAAAACATCGGTAAAATAAACCAGAAAAGAGGCCCACATTTCAGAACAAGCCCCTGCATCGAAGGTCTCTTGCCCATCTACTACGTCTGCCCCTGGGCCGGATGGATTCCAGGCACCGCCCATGGGCACAGATACTGTATGTCTTCAGGTGACACCTGGACATGTGACACCTGGACATGTGGCACCGCGGCTGCAAGCTACGAGACAACAACGTGTGAATACATTTCTTGTACACTTGCAAAATAGGATTTAAAATTTTGTCTGAGTTTACAAAGGGAATAAAACATTGTTAAAAAACCAAGGTTAAAAACAATAGCAGGGCAGCTGACCACCAATGATCAAACAGAGACTATGGTTTAACCAAGTGGATGCCAACGGGGACCGCACCGTCTGGAACATGCAACACACTGCTGGTATGTGTGGCACTGCTGCTGGATCTCCTTGCTTCCCAGTCCGCCCTTTCTCTCTGTGAACAGCATTACAAAAAGTTGGGTCTAGGGTTAGTGGTGAAATCTTCACAGTAACTGTTGACAGTGCCCGGGGATGGCTGTGAAGGGCATCAGTCAACCGGAGCTTGGAAAATCAATCTGATGCAGTTCTGCTCCCCGACCAGCTGCGTGGCACAGAAAGGGCAGGCAGCGTGGAATGCGTGGGTCCCATGGGGCAGTGGGATCTGAGACCAGTATTTTGCAGACTTCTCAGAGCACACGTGTCCACAGGGGGTGAAAGCGTGAGTCGGGGGTCCCGCATCTACGTAAAATCCTGCCTCGCAGCCCAGCCAGAGAGGCACATAAGGGCCCACAGTCCTGCACATGGGACACTCCCTCTCATTGGCCTCCGTGTCGCTCCGGTGGCCCCAGTTGTGGTACCCATGCACGTGGCCACAGCTGAGATATGCCCAGGGCTGCTTCTCCTCCACCACCTCCTTCCTGCTGATGCTGGGGAACGCCAGGGTGTTGAGACCCACAGGACACTGAGGGCGGGCAGCATTGATTTCCTGCCGCAGAGCTTCGATGTGCTTTTGCGTGGGAGCGTGGAAAAGGCCGTCCGCCGTTCTCCAGAGGAGTGTGGCCCCACACAGGTCGATGAGGGAGCCATCCTGCAGCACGTTGGTCTCACTTTCCACCTGCAACAGGTTTGACAGACAGACAGCTTAAAAGCAAAACCCTGCAAACCATGGAGCAAACCTCACCAACTCTCCTCTCAAACCAAAAACCACGTTTGAGGAAGATGGGAGGAGCAATTTATCCCAGGGGCACAGGAGCAATCTACTTTCCCACAGTCTGCTGCCTCACTGGCACTCTAGATTTGTTGTATCTGTCCAGGGCACAAAGCCACGAGTGCAGTGCACCTGACTTTACAAGTCCAGTTAACGTCATAGTTCTTGGGAACTTCACGCATCTCTGTAGGACGTTATTTGTACCTAAGCTGATAAATCTCTTTAGGGCCAGGGGTGTCCGAGCAGCGCACCTCGTGCAGACTGAGACTCATCTCAACCACCGCCCAGGCAGAGGGCCCACGGGGGGCCTGCAGTCATCACTGTAGTGTTCAGCACACTACTGTGGCCTCCAGCTTCACACACACCTCAAACCCGCCTTCACCCTTCATTCCTAGAGTCTGAGGCCAAGCCCTTCCCTTTGAGCCTACATTTTAAAAGGATGCCTGTGCCATGTGTGAAGTCATACAGGTCCCATTAACAGCTGACGAGCTCAGCAAGGCGTGGGCAGCAGGAACTGACCACTGCTTCCCTGGTCAGAGCTTGTGGAGCCCCTGGTGTTCAAAGACCAATAAAGCAGAGCCCTGTCATCAGGAGGGAAGGCAACCTGCCCACAGCCAGGGTGATGGGGTCAGCAACGCGCTCCTGAGGCCACTGCCCCACTGCAGCTGAGAGCATGGAATCTGGGGCTCATTGGCTAGGTCTGAACCTGGCTCTGTCATTTGAGTAGACTCCTGAAGCACCCTGTCCCTCAACTGCCCCTTCTGCAAAATGTGGATAAGGTAGTTGTGAAGAGTAGAAATGTTAACACAAGTTCCTAGAATGAGGCCTGGCATGCACTGAGCACCATGTACGCTGTTCGCTGCTGTGACTGATGAAGACAGCCCAGGAATGGTTTCTACAGGGTTACCCGGAACAGAAGTCTGAAGATGTCAAGAGTAGGTGGGGGATGGAGGCAGGCACAGCAGAGGAGGCTGAGCAGCGCAAGTGCTGATGGGAACACAGGAGATGACAGGTGCTATGGCAAGATGGGCCTACACTGGGGCACAGACCCAGAGCGGACCAGCCAGCTCTCTGAACTCCAGGGTCTGTGTTATGTCCACCCGAGGAGGTGATTGCGCCAGTGGACCGGCTCCCAGAAGATCCAGGAGTGTTTCCCCAAGGGATGGCACTGCATGGCGATTGGGATTCCAGGCTCAAAGAGGAGCCCTGAGTGTGAGCTCTGCTTTCCCGTGCCACGCCCTCCTCACACACCAGCCGGCTCCGCCCCCCGAGACTGGCATCTGGCAATGTGTTGTTGGCATGACCAGCACCCAGCAGCTGCCACCTCCCCCTTGCTGGGTAGTGATGCGGACCAGTGTGGAGATTGGCCAGCCCTATGTAAAACTATCTAGCAACTGGAGACAAAGTTGCTTTTTCTTTGAAGAAAAATATTTTCACATACGCCAATTAGTTTCTTGAAAAGTGGCTAACAAATTTATTGACTTTATTGGCTTTTAAAGAAAATGCTTCTCATGGGTATTCAGCCCTGATGCCCCGAGATGAGGCTTCACCGTGCAGAAGCTGTGCCCACAGCCCAATCATGGTGTGAAAAACCGAGAAGTAACAGCTTCCTGTGAACAAGCATCCCGGGGAGAACAACTGGCCAGCTCCACAAAATGATCCCCATCTGCTTTTCCTAGCCTTTAAATATTTAGCTATCGTTTTCTCTGAAAAGTGCTGGATCACACCCTCCATTCCCTGTATATTTTTCTATAGGAATTTTAAAGAACTTCCTCCCTACCTTCTAGGAAAAGCCATCTGCTCTCCCTTGCACTAGCTTCTACCTAACAATTACCTGAAGTACGAGTGGGAAGTTTATGAAGAGTTTTTCCAGGTCTGTGCCACATGGCACAGCAAGGTCAGAAGCCTCAAGCTCACTAGGAATTAGAATCAATCGCACTGAAGAAAGGCCCCAAACCCAACTGTATCGGGCATGGCAATAAGTGGTGGCAATTATAGAAAAACATGAACACACCAGGTCAGTGCAGTATATGTCAAGTAAAAAATTGTAACTATGATTTTGGAGAGTAATACAGAGAATTCTGTGTTAATTTCTTACTATGAACTTAAGAAAAAAAGACAACTGAGAGGAAGGGGCTTCTGGGCTGCCGTCCATCTCCCCGCTCCTGGCCCAGAGGGAGGGGCTTCTGAGCTGCTGTCCCATCTCTCCCAGCTCAGAGGAGGTGAGCCGCACAGGTGCCAACAGCACCGCCCTCCGCTCCCCACCCCACCTGGGTTGAAAAGAGAAGACATGTAAATAAGTCTCAAAACCAGAATTCCAGATCACCTACAGCAACCCCAAAGGGAAATGAGATGGAACACTCTGATACTCAACCACCTGGACCC